AGTTTTTAGTGAGAATAATTTTATGACTTAGAGTAATCGAAAGAATTTAAGAAAAAAAAAATAAAATGATTTAAAAATGCCAGTTGTACAAAGCACGATGAAAAAAAATCATAGGAAACACATTGAAAATGAATTTAAAATTGTGTGAATGAATGTGAGAAAGGAGTCAAATAAACACGGCCCAGTGATGATAAAAGCTGCAAACGAAAAAAAACAAATTTTTGTCAAATGCAATGTTCGTTTCTGAGTAGCAAACCACTTGAAACAACGGAATTCGGAAAACAAATGTGAAAACCATTCAGGCTTAGAGATATTTTAGTTCTCTCACGACCAAGTCAGAATTTGAATTTGTTTGATCTTTCGTTGGTTTCTTCTTTCAAGATAATAAACAAAAAAAACGATTAACGTTTTCTTCACATACGTACATAATCATCGTGTCATAGTCATATTCACGAAGGTCATCAATAGCTTTTATACACTTTCTATCTTTGAATTATCTCTGTTTGTAATCACTGCGACTATTATTTTCCTATAGTAAAACTACATGTGTATACGCGATATTTACTGCGGGACAAATGGACAACAAATGTTTGATGTACAATGCAAACGCATAGCAAGGAATGCTGTGACAGCTTTCGTCAAAACGAAATATACGATCAACTACAATGTTTTATACAGCAACTTGATGCGTATTACAAAGAAATAAGAAAAAGTACCATGAATGTAGCCTTTAACAATAGTTTTGTCTCTATCATGTACTACACAGATAGACCAACACATAAACACACAAAAGCGCGCGATTTATCCATTGATATCCGTCATACACAATTAATTGTACCGATTAAAGACACGATTACTGTGTGATTAATTTTCTAATGTCTAACCGATTATTCCCGATATTATTGTCACTTATACACAGAAAAGAATGTGTGCGTGTGAAAGGAAGTAAGATAGCGCCTGTGCGTAAGAGTATGAGTGCGTTCTCGTAGTTAAGCGATTCAAGTTATACAAACAAACAACTAACAAGATATACAAAACAAATGTTATGAAACAAGAAAAAAAAATAGTAACGATAAAGGAACAATGTATGAATGTATAATGTTTGCAGTTAGGTGGGACCAAAAATGACTTTATATCTCTATGTGCATATTCAAGCAACGCGTAATTTAATTATGAAATTAATTAGTTGAAAGCATTATTAATTGGTAGATGCAAGCGACGATCCTCTAAAAATGATAGAGAAGACGACGATGACGAATGATTCAAGTATATTATATTAGCTTATTATGTTTGTTTATTGATACATTATATTCAACGACATTATTATTATTAATTATTATTACTTTATTATTACATTTATTATTTTATTACGTTTATTAATAATAATAATAAGGATAATAAAATTATTATTATTTAATTCAAGTTTTAAGGCATGATTCTTTAGATATCGAGTAGAACAGTACGTACCGATTATTATTAATTAATTATATTATTAATTATTATTACGAAACATTTTGTTGTATTATTTTCAATAAAATCGATTTTAAAAATTATTTCATTTTCACGCGCATTTTATTAATTTCTCGTATTTTCATATTTTTTATTTTTAGTTGTATTTTCACCAATTCATCGATTTCCCGTACGACGTTCCGCGTTTATGGCTACATTTACGACCTTTCAATTGATTCGAGTCTAAAGACTTTTTTTACTTTTCTACATCATTCCAAGCAAACTAAAACTAAAACGTGAACAATCGATAAACAAATATTGTAAGAAAAAACGCCGTATTCACCTTTGTAAGTATACGACAGGATGAATCTTGAAAAAAAAAAAGAAAATCTATACAAACTAACTTTATGTACACACGACAACTCTTTTCTCTGTTTCTTCTTCTGTCCGTCAAATCCTTTGACGCATTTTCGCCCTGTTCTAAAGTATTCGTAAAACTGAGTATAAAAGCTAAGCATGGTAACGTTGGTTGTACAATTACGAAGCAACCGATAGAGAGAGAAAGAAAGATAAAGGGACGATCGACGAAAGCTCAAAGGAGAAAATATTTCGTAACACATATACTTGCAACAAAAATGCCGATAATATATCTCGAGCGCTCTCTCGAGATTTCATTATAAACATAATTATTATTAATCGAGGGGATAAGAAAAAGAGTAGAGAAGAGACAATTGTAAATTTTACCGTATGCGCATACAGGATAAGAGAGTAAAAAGAAGAAAAAAAGAGAGATACACACATGTATTAGGTAAGTTCATACTGCGTATTGCCTTTTTGACTTCGATGTGAACAAAAATATTCAAGTACATCGGCCGCCTCACAAGATGCGCGCTTTCTGCTCTGACGATGTGTTTGGAGTTGGTATTGCAAAAATTTCACAAGTTTTTCCTAACCCCAGTGTAAAACTTGGCGTTAACCACAAAACGTTCATGTAAAAAAGAAAATAAATAAATATAGGAATCCGACGGAAAGTTCTTTAAAATTTTTCAAGCGAAGAATTTGTCGATTCGCCTGATGTAGGAACAAAGTGCAAATACCTACTAAATATTTGTAAACCCGTCTGCTAGGTGCTCATCGTCAATATCACATTTCTCACTGCGCGGTAAGCCATTGAAAAATTTTAGCGACACTTTCCATCTATATGGAGCATTTAATTTTTGAGCTCGACAAAAGTATATTTATCTGCCTGTGCCTTGTTTTTTTTCTCTAAAAAACGAGGGCCTTCAGAAAATGTAGAAAGGGATTAAGAATTGTCTTCGCTGACGCTGAGGGGGATAATGGAAAGAAATAAACAACGCAATACAGTCTCCTTACAATCGTCATTGCTCGCGCGTTTCGAGCAGCTGTATCTGTTTCATGTTTTTCAATATTTGTAATTTATCGATCAAATTATAGAGGTATCGATACATAAACAGTCTAAAGTGTGCGCTACTACACATAAACATTATTATACATAAAGTATAAAGTATACATTATATACATGAATATACATATATAGTATATATTATACGAGGATTATAATATATAAATATGTGTATATTATTAACATTGGGATTGGTGAGAATATACGGTTTTTTCGCTTTGGAGTGTTATTTTCTGAAAATATTGAACAAAATATGGAAAAAAATTAATAAAAACGAATGAATAAAAAAATTAAAAAATAAAAACGTTTTTTTAATTATTGCGAAGTTCAGTAAAACAAAAAAAAACAATTTCTAATCTCTTTCGTTTAATTAAATTTGGTTTTCATTTTGTAAACAATATTTGTTCTTTTATAAAACTATAATCGAACATTATTATTCAAAGAGACGATTCCTTTTATTATGAAAATGGTTGCATTATATCTATAAATGGCTTTTTTTAACTTTTTTCTCAAGTGCATTATGAAATTTAGTACAATAATAAAATATCTTCAAAAATAATTAACAATACTTGATTGCGCGTAGTTTTTGGTAGACTGTATTTACAAGAAATATTTAAACAATGCTAAACTCAATCAAATCAATACAAGATGGTATGCAAGTTTTCATGGACTCCAACAGCATCGGTGAGGTAAATGTATATGCCTGTTATGAATACATATGAACAAAATGAAAAATATTATATTGCAACATTAACTTTATTCACACCTAATAATTAGATTTTATTCCATTTATAATTGGTATTTTGGTATAGGCCTCTACGTTTTTTGATGACATTATTGATGAAACAGATGAAATCAAATTTATCAATTCATTAAGAGATTTAGTTGAAAAAGCTCTTCTTTCGAAAGAAAAATATACTTTTGAAGCTGATTGGGAGGCAATGAAGTTGGTATTCTTGGAATGTTTATTATAGAGATTACCTTTTTTCAACTAAAATTATGATATTACTAGATTTTTAGGGACATTTCTAGGAATGGGTGACGTTGAATCAAATTTATTTTCAAGTTGGATTTTAAGAGCATTGATGGAGCAAATAATTACATTTTTTAATGACATAAGTGAACGTAATTATAAACTGTTTATTTGTTGGTTATATCAAGAAATAAATATTATATGCTATAATCCAGGTAATGTATGCATATAAAGACAATTATTAATCCATTCACTAACTTCTACTAACAAAATTAACCAAATAGATATTTCAAGAGAGCAATTTTTTGATTTGATAAACAAAATATTCCATAAAGCTTTGACAGAAATTTTGAATGGAAAAGGTTTACTTCCTTTCTCAAACTTCATTCTCCACGAGACAATAGTCGGCAACATAGAATTGAAATTAGGAAAGATAACTTCGAATACCGATGTATCTTAAATGAATATAAAGTCTAATGAACTGAGTTATTATTAACGTACTTAATTTTACCAATGTTTTTCATTGTCGTAGTGCAACTGGATAAAATCTTTAAGCGATATGGAAGAGGAAGACGATCGTTTTGAAATGTTGAAGACGCCATTTGATTTTCATTTCAAACATCATGAAGATTCTCTTCATGCTATTATAGAAGCATCTTATCGAATGTAAATGTTTCGTGAGTCAGTTTACGCCGTGATTTCGAATGAAAGATATTTAATTATTTTAGATTCGGTGACAAATTGAATTATAAGTTGATTCAATCGAGCTTTAAAAGCCAAGAACAAATCTTGCATTATACGTTACCTTATCACTATCGTCCACCAAGAGTCGTTAAAAAGCCAGTACCAAGTGAAAAACCATCGATAGCGTCCAATTTTAAGCCCGACAGTGAGTTTTTTTTGTATAAACTTCATGGCGCTTTCAATTGCTTTGGAAGTAATCGCTTTCAGAATTACAAAAGAAAAAGAAATTGCTCAGACAAGAGTCAGTACAGACGACACAAGATATTTCGATGTCTTTCGATTCTGCATCAATAGTTAACAAACGAAGCTCGTATGAGCCTGAATTAATTCTACCGCTTTCTGAAGCTCTCGAATCATACTACACTATTAACAATGACGACAGTGGAGAGATAGAAACAGACTCGTGAAGTATTAGACTGTTTTATTAACTATAGTTCGTACGAAAGTACTCCACTCTCTACACTTAAAATCAACGATTTTTCCTATTGGATCATCGAATTCTAACAAAATAAACTCTTTTGACATCGTTAATTTATTTCTAGATATACCTAGTTGGCCGTACTTATTTGATCCACAACCCCATAGATTTCCATTATCTGAATAATAAGTAATTGTTGTTGATTAAATAAAAATTTAAGCATTTTCATAATAAAAACGGTATTTTTTTGAAAGTTACATACCAGTTTGGCAAATGGTGAATGCACTTCCACATTCGGCTTTGATAACATTTAATTCAATCTCTTTTTGAGTGGAATCTTTTAAATCTACTAGAGTAGGCACAGCTAGTACGTTCTCAATATTTGGTTGTCCAAGCTGTCCTTGATTATTCCATCCCCAAGTATACAAATCACCCTATTGTATTATTTAAAAATGTAATTAATAATTCTGTAAATTACTTTTTAAAAATATTATAAGAATATAAATAATAGAGACTTGATCTGTTACAACAGCACTATGCCAACCGTAAGTTGAAATGTGTATAACTTTTAAACCAGCTAACGCTTCTATTAGTTTAGGCTCGTCGCAATCTTCTAAATCACCATGTCCTAATTCTCCCCGCCTACAATTAAATAATAAAATAAGAGCTTCGTAGAAAATTATATAATCATCATCGAAGGATTCTGCTCGCTTTCTAACTATTATTCTGCTATATTTTAGCTATTGAAGCGATATATAAAATTACATAAAAGCCAAATCAATGACGGAGAAACTTACCGACTTTAATTCTTTGATAGTGACAAATAAGCACGAATAAAAATGTATCGATAGTATTTTTGTTGATTACTCATAATTAGTATATTTACTGTATACTTTTATTGTACTGTGCGTATTGATGAGAAAATTAATACTTACGTTCCCATTCCTGTCGAGTATATATCACCGTTTTCTGCAAGTAACAGTGTATGATTATATCCGCAAGCAATGTCAACGAACTTGATTTCATCAGGGTTATTCAGAGATATTGGAATATTAAAGACACGGCCGAAATTCGTCAAGCCTACAGTGCATCGGCCTTGAGAAATTTTAATGACATACTCTTTATCGTTTTCGCACGAGTTGAGAATGAATGTTGACGGAACTATTTCCCAAGTATCGGAGTAAATATTGTACAGCCATATGTCATAATTATCTACCAAAACTGTTATTTTCTCAGATCCTGCAATAACCTGTTTGAATCTGGAAGCAATGAAAAAATTAAACTTTTACTTGAGAAATGTATATATATATATAAAACAATACTATATATAAAAATAAATATCGTATTTACTTATGATCAGAACATTGTGGTATTTGAAGTAACTTGTTTACAAGAATATCATTACTATTTACAATTTTTCCAGTTATATAGACATTATTATTTTTCCAAATAAGATAATAATCCCAACCAATGTCGATATTAGTAATTTCTTCATCTGGTATTGAAAGAAATTTATCACTCACTGTTATCGATTCTTCATCATCGTATTTATTGACCAAGACAATTTTATTTGCATTCAAGCCTGACACATAAATTTTTGACATTGTGCTAAAATTAAAATAATTAATGAATTTGTCTTCTTGTATTTAAAAAATATAACGGCATTTATAGAATTTTAAAGAATACCCAAATAAAAAAAAATTTAATTATTTAAAATTAGAAGAATACGCTTATACGTTTTTTAATTTAAACAAACAGTGTACTGCTTTGTCGACAGTATTGACAGAATTTATTCAGTTTAATTGAAGCGGTAAAATTTAGATGTCGCTACTATGCCTCGCGTGCGTATTTACGAAACCATGGTAACAGAATACAACAAAGTGAACAAAACAAAAATGATTAAACTAGTGATGACAATATTGTACATAAGTTGAGCGCGCACTAGTAGTATTGTTTTAAATATTGTGTATTTTATTGTTTTGTTTTGAATGACAGTGATTATGAAATTTATACATACTTGCTACGACGATTTCAAAAACAATTCTACTTTAATAACGTTTATACAATCATAGACTCTGCATAATATCACTTCAGCTTTATAACTTGAATTTAAAACTTGAACACGCATTTACACTATGGTTTGTGAATTGAATTTCAATTATAATCAACAATTCAGATAAAACTTTCTTCTAGCTCTGCCTATTTAGTAGCAGACGCATTTTGGCTTACTAAGGAAAATACGCCATCATTCGAACTGAATATTGGCGGGTCTTTTTGAAATTTATTTTAAAATTAATCTTATTTTTCCCTTCATTCTAGCGCTTGGTTCTACGATGCTTAGTTGATTTTTAAAAAACTCGCTTCCAATTGAATAATAATAATAATACTAGTGTAAATTTTATTAGATATTCATGTCTTGTTAGTTTATTAATGCTACCTTACTTTATTTATAAGTAAAATGGCCGTTTCAGGGACTGCTATCGATTTTACGCAAACTCCGATCCAATCCCGACAAAGAACTCCGTTTATTGCTTCTAGGATTGGACAACGCCGGAAAAACAACAATTCTTCGTTCTCTAGCTAATGAAGACATAACTCAGGTTTATTTTAAAAAATTTTTAACTTAATTTTCAAACAATAATTAACAAGCGTTATCGATATAGGTTCTATGTAATTATTTATTGTACTTTACAACATTGATAGGTAACGCCTACTCAAGGGTTCAATATCAAAAGTGTACACAGTGAAGGCTTTAAGCTGAACGTGTGGGACATTGGAGGAGCAAGAAAAATCCGTCCTTATTGGCGTAATTACTTTGAAAATACTGATGTTCTCGTGAGTAGCACCTAACAAGTGAATATACTATGATTATTATTTGTATTGTATAATTTAACACTTAAAATATCTTACAGATATATGTAATTGATAGTGCAGATACAAATCGATTGGAAGAGACTAGCCAAGAGTTATCTGAACTTCTGACAGAGGATAAACTGCGAGGTGTTCCATTACTCATTTATGCCAATAAACAAGACTTCTCTCGATCCGTAAATGCATCTGACATTGCTGAATTGTTAGGACTACATAATGTTAAAGATCGAGACTGGCAAATACAATCCTGTGTCGCTACTGACGGCATAGGCATTAAAGTAAGAAAAACAAATAGATTTTTCTCCAGGTATATGAAAAAAATATCCGAAAATTTGACTGAATAGTCATTCATTTTCCAATGAGCACAAAAAAAAATCAAAGTATAAATTAAAATGTAGATGCAGTTATGCATACTAACGTTTTTTGTAAGATAGATTTTATTAATACATTTCTACGTTATTCAAAGTTAAATTTTTTTACAGGAAGGTTTAGAATGGGCCTGCAAAAGTATTAAAAAGAAATAATCGTCACTTGTAAAATAGGATAAAAAAAGAAGATACACCAATGTAATGTAATAGCATAGATGTTGATTTTTTTTGTGTATCACTTATATTTTATTTGACATTTATCTAATATTTACAAGAATTATTTATACGAATCGGCTATCTACGGTCATGTATAAACAAGTCTATCCAGAACGGATCTGGTTACTCGACTGTGTCCGTTCTTGTATTTCTTTTTGTTGTTGCTATTTTTAAATTCTTTTTAGCGCCGTTACTCGCACATTTATAGAAACCATGAATTAATTTAGACTAAACGGTATAGCTTCGTTTAATGAAGCTCATAAATTATAATTTTTAATTTCATTCTTTCACGCCAACTGTTAACTTTCATACTGGTTTTATATTTTCATCGATCTTTTGTACCCTTACAAACTACACGCAAAATTTATTCTTACGTGTCTTAATTTAAAAGAAATTTAAAAAAAGCACGAGGTAAATTGAATGCAATATTGAGCCATTTGACAGCCCCGCCAGAACACCGCAAATCTTTCGTTTTCTTTAAGTTTATAACAGTCTCTTTTTCGTTATTAACAATTACATTTTAAACTAAAAAGACTTTAGTTTAAAGTTCAACGTGGGTGGCTTCGGTAGTCACTCGAATCTCCTCATCATGGAATAGCGTGCAATCAGCTGGATATTTTTCCTGTAATAGAATAAGGCATTTGTTGTAGAATTTGTTATTTTGTAGTTGTGTTCAAGTGATATGTTTATGTGCAATAGAAAATATATAGATTTAAGTAAAAGAATAAATTGTGCCTTCTTTGAAAAACTTTTTGATAACAAACATTGAAAACGTTTATTAATCATGCACAGTAAAATAATCGTTCATCTTAGACAATTATATACTTACTAAACAATTATTATCTGTATCCAATATCGATGCGTAAAGTGACCAGAAACTAAGTCCACTTTTGTTGCTAATACCCCATGCTGCTGGGAAGCTCGCTATTTTCGTTAAACCTCTGCGGAATGACTCATTTATGACTTTGCCTTCCATTGGCGTTGATTTGTGGTTGATCGAGCACAAAATTTGTGCGGCACATTGTGGCATCTTTGAACCCCATTTGTATGCACGGTAAGCCTGTATCAAGTTAAAAGTATACATTGAGAAAATTACAAATACGAGCAGAAGATCTCAAGTCTATTTTTTTTTCAAAACCCTGAATCAATTTAACTGTCTAAATAAGTAAGAGGATTACTTTCAGCAATGGCCCAATGAAACCGTTATTGATCGATTCACTCAATTTGTTGCTGAGCTCACGAGCGTTGATCCTTGACATAATAAAACCCTTTTCCGAAGCCAAACTCATTAATTCTTGTATATATGCTACGGCTGGTTTGATATAGAGAATACTATCGATTTTCATATGAAGGTGTCGCTTAGCCACTGCATTGGCAAGCCTACAAATAGATGTTCATTCTTATTGTTACTACCCATCGTTACGTATATCATGCAAATAAAAATATACCTTGAAAGACTTTCAACAGGCTTTGCAGTATCGAACATGACAGTCTTGGGATAACCCTGAGATTTCAAGAAGCTGTTGCCAACGAACTGAGCGGTGGACAGGTAACGTTGTTGTGTAGCCGGATCAGAAACATGGGACATCCATTCGGCCACGTAATTGGTTAAAGAGTTAATCCAGCGTCGCCTTTGAGTTGGATTTTCAAAACTTTCCATTATCTTTTCCCACTGAATTCGGCCATTTTCGTCCGTCATTGAGCCCACGATAGTGGAGAGTCCGCTATTCTTCCATAGTGTTTGTCCCAATTCAGAACTCCTGCAAGGCGATAGAAATATTAGTTGAATGACAAAACTTCTGTAATATTTTTGTAACGAAATTTAATGTATAAATATTTGTGGTATTGGTATTTATAATACTTCCACTGATAAGCTCTATCCATTTGAATGCTTGCGCTTTCAGATTAGTTATCAAATTTAGTCAAAAAATGTTTAATAATGTTTGTACTTCATATAAAGTTCAGTAAAGAGTATTTTTCAATGATATCGTGTTATTTGGCTGACGTGATATTGAAAAATAGAACAAGGAAAGGATTTTTTGTGTCAAGGCTCACCGAAACATACATTATTGAGTTATCAGTAAAATGTTTGTAAATTGAGCAATTATTTCTAATTTCGTTGAAGCGTTGTTAAACTTTTGAAGTTATACTGATAATGATGAAAATAAATTGATAATTGCAGACGCGCAAGAGCAAAATGCGAACGTGAAAAAAAGTAATGACTACTTACCTAAAGTGATCCCACATAAGATGAATATTCTCAAGTATCGGTGGCATGAACCACGAATGATCCGAGTGATCGGACTTTCCATGCTTGTCAGTGGAACTTCCTGCGAAGGTGTCGAGTACAAGCGGTAACAAACCCATGATACCTTCGGCATTACCACTCTGTCCCATGAAAGCTGAAGCGATGTTGAGCATACTGTCGAAATCAAAACCCGACGATTCATTCTCTTCGCCTTCGTGTTGATGAGGAGACCTGGTGCGTCTGTTGTTACCAGCTAACGAGCTCAATCCACCGATTAGGTCGCCGATCATCGACAGGTCCACGCCACCACCTCCGTCACCACCACCTTGGTTTTGGTTACCCATCAAGCTGCCTAAGCCAGAAATTATCTGGCCTAAACCGTCGTTTTTCTATCACGATAATATTTCCAATATTAAATATTAATCTTTACGCGCTGGTTCTTTAACCATGTGAAAATTTACGCACGGCACTACATTAAGAAATATCTCTAGACTTGTCAGTTTACCTGCTTTCCAGTATCCGACTGCATAAAAGCTCTCGCCACATTACTGAGATCGCCAATTGCATCTTTATTTTGTAAGAGTGATTGAGCTGCTTCCATAAATGCAGTTGCAGTGTCGTCTTCTTTCTCAGCAAATGCATATCCGGATAATACCAAAAAAATGACGATACTATTCTTCCAAAAGATCATTTTTATTTCTGAAAGTAAACAGATAAATTAAATTTGTAAGTATAGCAGTGGTATACAGTTATTCCAAAATATTTTTTTTACAAATTGTGGTAAATATGTACTAAGAGGGTAATAAAATTTATTTTCAGATCTCTTTTGGCGATAAAATTTAATTGCATCTAAATGTAGATATATTTATTATTCGTTTTACTAGGAAATGTATCATTAAAGTCGGTTATCGGTATAAATTCAATGAAATTATGAAAGTATATGTGCGTGCATGCGCGTTCATATGTATGCCTGTGTGTGTTACCATGGCAATTAACTATTTTATATCGATTAAATTATTATACTGTAAAAAAATGTTTACACTTTGTTAGTACCGCTCAATAAGATCTCGATAGCTTCGAATTAATTTATAAAAGATAAGGTAAACAATTGTCGATTTTACGAGAATTTTCAATTAAATTATCTTTTAACTTTGTAGAATATAAGCGCAAAAAGTAATATCGCTTTAAAAGAAACAAAAATTTTATTGAAGTACAATTGTGCAAGTTAGTCCGTTGAATAAATTCTACAGTTGATAATGTTTTCAAAACAAGATATTATCACATTTGTATTTTTTGTATTTCACATTTCACTTTATGTGTGTCAAATTCATGAGATCTACCGAAAGACACCTTTTAAAATTTCTTCAATTTCAACTTTATTAAATGTATTTTTGTTTATTTATATAAAACCTTAATTTTCTAATTTGATGGCCCTTTTCACTTATCGAAGTATGCAATTTTACATTCAAATGAGTTTACAATAGTTAAATTCATTTCATTACTTCGCGAAAAGTATAATTTGTCTAACAATGCAACCATCATCAGATCTGCAGAAAATCGATTTTAATGAAACTTTGGTAAAAAGATAAAAAAACTATTTCAGTTTTAGTGCATAGTTCTCTTTTGGAATTTATGAAGTCTTACATTCGATATATTGAAAAAACAAATCCCTTTTCATTTTTAAATAACTCTTGAAGGAATAAAAATGTATGTCAATTTAAAGATCACCAAAATGAAACCTAAGATCAAATTCCTTTAATAAAAAAAATTGTTGAAAAAGGTTGAACCATTCGAAAGGTTGCATTAAAAAAATTTTATTTGATATATTAAGCCGATTTTAGAAATTCCATTTACATATTTTTCAAATTAGCACCATTTTTAAGCGGCACAACTTTTTTCAACAAAATTTCATTTAAATTTGTCTTCTGATAATCTCGTTATTAGTGGCTAATAATTTGAAATTATTAAGAAAGTTTGAATAAATTTTATAAGTAAAATTTTAGAACTATATTTAAATAAAAATGATCTTCTTGTGACAAGAAAATGACTGTAGAAAGTAATAATAATTACTTTAAAAGAAAAGAAAAAAACAGTTACAATACCGGCAAATTATCTAATAGTTTGTAATGGCAAATACCGTGGATAAGTATCTCACATTCCGCGTTAGCTTAATGTCCTGACAGAGAGTGTCACTGAAGTAAGAAAGTTGTTACCGACGAAAAATTTCTTAAAATAATAACCTTTCGAAACCATAAACTGAAATATAAAAAAATATCCTAATTTATTTTACAACTAATCACAATGTGTAGTTGTATAATGTATACCTTCTTCTTCGATGAACTATGGAGCAATTGCGGTCCTAAAAATGGGAGTCAAGGCCGAGAACGAGTTCCGTTAAATGTTGCGACTCTTGGCTTATGCGTACCTTTACTGTGCCATTGCACAACACGATCTTTCGAACGTGCGGTACAAAAACGGGATGTACGAAAAGGACTTGGTCAAAATAACACTCGACTGGTTTATCAAGTATACCGAAGGCCCGCTACCTAGATTGAATCCTATATCTAAAGAATGTACTTTCAATATAGATTTCCAAATAGGCTAAACCTTATAACATTCTTTATGATTGCAGTACTTTAAGATAACGTGATTCACAAGGCATATGAGTTATTTAACGCGGGAGAAGAATTAATGCCAATCACTTCTGTTACTGTTAATAGTATTCAAAGATACTTTTTGCTGTGTCACATAAATTTATTGCGTTTTATGGGATGTGTTTCTCGTAATTTTATAATTAACCAAACACGCACAGATGATGCTTCATAATTATGAAAAATCATATAAAATGAACAATGGCCTCTAAAAACTGGATATCGTTTCCTTGTTATCGGCGATGAAAAATTACAATACGCACTTTTAACGACGTCAATTGACAACAGAAAATTGCTCTTACAGAATGACCTTCCTCTCACGACATTTGTTTCTAAAAAACCTAGCAAGAAGAATAGTTTTTGTAAAATCGCGCGTCGCGCAGGAGTGATTCAATATCGAGTTATATCGGGGTAATTTCGTAGCGTATACCGTAAGCCACTGCGCACGAAATTGACATTCTCCGCGCCTGAAAACAAGGATGGTACCGGCGTACGAGCGCGCGATTCGACCTAACGGTACGCACTGTTAGTCATCGCTTGCGTCCAAGCGCAAAGCACGAAACACTCCGATATATTCCTATAAGTTCACTCGCGCTGCCCAGCCGAAAAGCCCGTTTTTTTTTTTTTTTTATTTCTACTTCCTTTATTTCGTTCGTTTCGTTTTGCGTCCTTTTTTTTATATACACGTGGTGTTCTGGAACGGACAATGACGTCGTAAAGCTTTTTGCGCTCGCTCCGGTAACTTAATTGCTCAGTGCTCATATTTTACGCCAAGTTTTCTTGGCGAAATTGCGACACACCTTTCATTATTGTCTGCTTTCTTTCATACTGTGTAATATCTTACGGCAGTTATGTCTCTTTCTGTGGATGTTGTTAAAACTATACGGAAGTTTACCCTTACCCGAGGTGTTAAAACGAAATATGCATTTTGTTTTTTGAAAGCTAAAAATACACTGAAATAAATGTTCAGTAAAGTCAATTACTAATGGCAAGCTGTGTTATCGATTCTTGAAGGTACAAACTGTTAACGGAAAATTGGTCAAAAGTGTTCTACGGACACAGCTTAGTTATTTTTATTGCAGCATTACATTGGTAGATTCGTAATCTAGTTATTCGTGTACGCGTGTATATTTTTCTTGTGTGCCCTATTTATTAAGAAAAAGTTGCAATTTATTCAATAATTACATCATCTACGTAATCAAAACTGAATCAAATCAAAACTGAACCTCGTGAAAGGATACACAATCGATAAATATCTTTAAATAAATTCCTTTACCGTAGTAATGGCTGTGATTCTCGGAGTCCTGAATTTGAATTTCAATTGGTCAGTGACAAGGGTACAGTTATATTATTTAAAAAGCCGATCACGTCAAAACCGTACCGTAGCTTAACGTCGACTGCTTGACAAAAATAAATTCATCGGTGGACTGAGGGAGCACGTAAAACGAAAGAGAAAGAATTGGCTTGCCAGGTGGCAAAATGTTTATCACTGTTGAACTAAGTATGGGCGAGTGACTCACGTGCAATAATTGCATGAATGTGAAGTGCAGTGGCATCGATGTTAATGGCTAAGAGGCCCTTATCGGGCCTCCGATAACCGACAGACCTTGACGTAATTGCTGGGAACCTTGCGTGCACGTTACCGTAAGCCCCACCGTGCGTCGTCGCGACTCGCGATCGCTGCTGCTTCTCCGCCGTTTTCTTTTTCACGGGCGACTCCACATACGGAATGCACGTGTGCGCGCTCACCGAAATGCCTCTGCAATCTCCTTGCCGAATCCGCGGCGGGCGCCGCTCTTTCTTTCGGTCAACTGTATCTGATTTCGAGTACTCGTAGGACTCTCGAACTTGTATATTTTATTCAAGCTAGCCACTTATTAAACTCACAATCGTTCTTTTTCATTTTCTTGTTAAATACAGATTAACGATTCGCCGTGCTAACATATTGTGCATTGCAAGAACTAATTAATTTTATCTTTGAAAACCATTAAAGCAAAAGAGCTCTGCTCGTTAAATTCGTCATAACAGAATGAGCACAAACGATGCAAGTGAATTATATACGATTCGTGGAGGTTTCTGGACTTAACATTTAGCGTTTTAATGTGTTTTTAAGCTCTCGTCTTAATTAATCCCTTCTGCAGTTAATCATCTAAAATTACAATTGCGCGCATAGCAGTGGCAAGTGTGGAAAAACGAGCGGCGCAGAGGTACGGTATTGATGGCATTTGCAATTGGAATACATATAACAGTGCTCATGTGTGGGGACCACCCGATCGGGAGCCAAAAGATGCCGCCTCCGCATTCCACGTTGCGCGAGTTCAGCGACCTACCTTTTTTTTTTATTTAATCTCGTTCTTTTTCTTTAGAAGCAGTGGTAACGGCGTCAAGCGGTTAGAATCCTTCCAAGCAAGTGTCGATCGACGGCTGAGGGCCTCACGGAGGCAGCTAAGACAGGACTCTCACGACGTTGACTCTGTTACTCGCTCGGAAGAGTTTCGCGCGTCGACTGGCGCAGGCGATCGCAGCAGTAGCAGCAGCAGCGACGACGACGATGGCACGGCTTCCCCTTTCCTGTGCGCGCGAGAGGCTTTTACCGTTGGTCCTCGCAAGAGAGTCACTCACCTGAGCGAGCGAGCGAGAGAGAGAGAGAGAGAGAGAGAGAGAGAGAGAGAGAGAGAGAGAGAGAGAAGGCTGGTTTAAGCGAAGCGCACGAAGAATGAGCAGCCATAGGCCGACCCTCCAGCGACTAACGGACACGACACCGAATTTTCTCGCTTAACGCGCAAAGCCAAGCAATCGAGTCCAATGTATCCTTCCCTTCTTCCTTCTTCTTCACTTCTCTCCTCGTCATCGTCGGCGCGCTTGAAGCTTTCTTCGTAACCTCCTTTTCACCATCGTATCGCAGGCTCCTGCACGGCACCACCACAGCCGACCCAGGACTATGAGTCACTTGGGAATTTTCAGTGATTTCTCGATCGACATCTACTTTCCATAATAGCCTGTCTTACCGTTTTCTTTGCGTAATAGTTTGAAGTGTATAGTAGTTTTGTTGTAAAGAGTGATCATCCCGAATCTCGAGAGATGATATATTGACCTATAGCTTCAGGATGCCGATGCTTTGCTTGTACGAAACATGTAGTCGATTATGATATATGTCACCTGTCGATTTTCATCAATGCGCTGGTACAACTGCTTCATCATTCAAATCAAGTTTTCTTGAACATACATTTGTTTTCTTAATTATTATAGTTCAAAATATTTAGTACAATGCAGTATAACTATATCTATTGAAGACTGCGCAATAAAAATATTAAACAAAACTTTTTTTTCTGGTGCAGTAGATAAAAGTTTCATATTTTACAAAATATTGATATTTTAAATTAATGAGTGTGACTATTTTTTTTACATTGTACTTTGCAATCGAATTGCTAAAATTTAAATTAAAACTTTAAGTTTTAGGTATCAGTTCACCTCACGTCAGTGGTTCGATAAAAAATACGTAAATATATACATTATTTAAGTCGACATTATGTTTACTATACCTTAAAACTATTTGTATGTGTTAGTTTTTAAAATTTGTAAGCTCTAAGCGCGTATTTTATTATTATCAGTGTACGTTATGTATACAACTATCCAAGTATTATAACTAATATTTTTTCAAAAGTTTTTGGAATTTGTTAAGGGGATCAGATAATGTCAAACAGTAAAAATTGAAGATTTTCTGTGAGCTTGAGAAAACCGTTCTAATAAAAATATCGTCATGAAATATTTCTTTCTTAAAGTACTCAAAATAAGCTATAATTTTATTGGTCATAAGTTTAAAAATTTTAAAGATACGTCTTTAAATTTTTGTTAAAGCGATTTTTATATGAAACGATATAGAAAAATTTTAATTGCCACAGTTTAACATAATTAAATAGCCCCTTAATTAATAAACTTAAATTAAAAATACGTTATTTTAAAATAATAACGATACAACCATTCGGAATTAAATAGTTTTTTTCTAATTTGAATACCTTTTTCAGGAGTTAGTTGTAATATTTTAATTATGAAAAGATCAGGAAAGTAATTAGATCACTAAGGGGTCAAGAGCTATGAGTAATTCACATAGCAATGATTATTTTCAGGTCATAGAAAATTACTTTTATCACATAATAATGCGTTCTTTTACTATTGTCCTTCACAATAAATTAAATTAAAAATCGTTTCGTTAACAAACACATTAATATAAATACAAAAACTGTCATTGTAAGTAATAAAAAAGAAAATATCAACCAGATTAAAAAAATAAAAAATAGATTAATTATCTGTAACCTGTTTGAAATCTAACGATTTAATTTATTCATGAGCACTCTAAAAATTGAATGAACATTTATACAACTGAACTAGATATATACTCTATTGGAAAATAATAAAATTTAGATACGAGAATGAATCTTTTAATTGTGTGTATTCTTGAATCAAATTTAACTAGTTTAATTATACTATAACTGATTTCATTTTTATTGGATAAAATCAAGACTTGATTTGGCTTTGAACTTTATCACTTGCAATTTAATTGTTTCATATTAACTTATGAATACTCATTTTTTTTAAAAAACCAAAATTGAATTAATTTACTAGAACAGTATAAAATTTATTCATTTTGTTTAGTGCCAAGAGATCTTTTTGTTAGCTTTACAATAACAGTTCTAATGATATGAGAAATATTTAAATAAATTAGAATAATTTTCTTAAATTTCATTTAATTTTTCCTACATTACTTCAATTCTATTTTTAAGACGACAAAATCTATTATGATTGAAAGTATGTTATACAATAACATTGATTGCTATATGAACTGTATATTTATAATTATTATCCTTTTTGCACATACATTTTATAGTGTTCAAAAATAGAGCACTACTTGCCTAATAGCTATAAATCTGATTTTCTTTGATTGGTTTACAAATACGTACAAATAAATCAATGTAACAATACATTACATGTATTGTTACATTAATGTAAATTAATATATTGTTACATTAATGTAAATTATTGAAAATATTATAAACATTGCAAAGATATGAAAAACTTTCAATTGAAATAGTTAAACTCATATAATTTTCAAAAATATTCAAATATTTTACCAAAAAAATATAAGTTCACCTACGTAATAATTTACATAAAATTTATAAATATGGCCTATCTGGTACTGTTTTTTTAGCTTTTTTATCTCTAGCTCTAGGGTACCACTGATGTTTACAAGTATATGTTATTTTAGCTAGTTCTTCAGGTATCAAATCATCTCTTCTAGGACGAAACATTTTTCTCACTTCAGTATCTCCCACCTTCAAAACAGATTCAGGCTCTGGTTGCTTTTCGGGTAATGGTTTTGAATACTTATATGGAAACGGTTGCTCTGGATGCCAACAAACTACCATAATATCATCCATAAACACTACTAATTCAGAAGGTAATTTTGTGCCATAAGCACGAGTAAGAGAATGCTGGTACAGAGACCTGAATAATCTTACGTTAAGATTCATCTGTAAAATAAAATGGAACTTATATTTATATCAATAAGGACCTGTTAATATTGTAAATTTTTTATTTAAAATTTGAATAGCTATGAATAATTATTGAATTAAATTTTTATAAATGATATTTTGTTATAACTCAAAAATATTTATTATCAGTATTTATAAGCAACTCACCGTAACTAATTTATCATTCACTTAGTTTCATGTGGATTAATTTACATTCAATACCTATCTTGAGATCTTAAGTAAATATTGTTGGAGTAATAGAATGATTTTCTAACCTAAAAATTAGAATGTCCGACTAACAGAAAGGTTCGTTTTCATTGAAATTCCTATAAAAAAAAAAGTCCGTCCAGAACACCAACCGCTAAAATTGACCATGTCAGTTACTTATTAGGCCCTCGCCCCATATGCTCATACGCGCGCGTACGAGGACGTGCAAACGCGTACAAATCGCTAAAAATTTAGATAGTGCCAACAACAGAAAGTTACTACTATTCCTCGCATGCCCCAAACGAACACACTTACTCCCGGAACAAACATATCAACCTTGAATAATATAGTATTATGATACGTTTGTTCCGGGAGTAAGTGTGTTCGTTTGGGGCATGCGAGGAATAGTAGTAACTTTCTGTTGTTGGCACTATCAAAATTTTTAGCGATTTGTACGCGTTTGTACACCCTCGTACGCGTGTTATGTGCATATGTGGCAAGGGCCTTACTTTAATTTAACTTTACTAACGGTCACTGTTATTCCACATGGGATGAAAAAATTTAGCGGGAAAATCTATGAAAATCGAATCAGAAAAGTTATAGTTAAACGTGAATTATAAGGGTAGCAAAAGTAATTAATAATTACATGCAATTTAATTTTCGTTAATAAAAAAATTCCAAAAGTGTACACTCCCATCGTTAGAAATTAAATTTGCGTACAACGTTTTAATACGCCGTTTATAGAAATAAATGTGTTTAATTGTTAGCAAAGGTCACGCCAAATTTTTTTTTATTCAGTCAAAATATCATTATAAACATCCGTTATAAAGAAATGAATATTATTTCTCATCATACAGTGACACATGCACATGAAAGATTATAGAATGTAACGTAGACTTAAGAAGTACTGCGTTCTGAAAAGAATTGTACCTATAAATATGCGTTATTTTTCAAATATCCAACAATGTCAATTACTTTAGCATAGACAACATCTTTCCCAAGAATGCCAGCGTAAGAGATGTAGTAATAAGGTTGGATTAATTTTTCAATAACTAATAATTTTAAATACTTATTTGGGTTGGGTTAAAAAAATTCATTTCTAACAAATAGTTAACATTGACAGTTATCCTAGAAAATAACCTAGTTTGATTAATTAATCGGGGTTGTTTTATGGATCTAACGAATAGTTTTTATTGAGGGAACAATTCCTCTTGAGAGTATATGTATATACTGTCCCACAAAAGGGTAGATGATCTATGTTACCGACTGATCTTTCAGATGGATAAATGTATATCGTAATAAAATATATCTATTCTTTAATAGATGGTTATAACAATATTTTGATTGAATAAGAAAATTAGGCGTGATTTTTGCTAACGATTCAACACATTCATTTCTTTAAAATCCGTATTTAAATACTATGCAAATTAAATATTTTATAAATTAGGCGTGTTCATCTTTTGGAATTTTTTATTAATAAAAACTAAATTACGCGGAATTATTAATGAGTTTTGCTATCCTTGCTAATTACGTAGTTTTTATAAAATGTTCGCGGGTCAGTTTTTCTCGATTTCCTGTAAAGTTACCTCATCCTAGGCTTTATCGGCAATCAGCCATTGCAACTACTATAAAGTGCTTAAGGTTTCATGTAAAAATGCCGTACTTGGCGTTTCAATCAAACCAGATTATTTTACATTTATAAATAAGTAACCCTTCTTAAAAATGTAATCAACTGAAACGAACTAATGAATATCTTATTTAAGTAGTTTTTACCGTGGATCTGCATTATCTTTACATGTCAGTTTGCATTAAATTTTCAACTAAATAACCTTAAAGCACTAAATTCGTTAATGATATATTATACAATTTTCTTTAAATTAAAAAATAGATAATTAGTTTTATTTAAATTTTTATGAAATATAAACTACCTAAAAATATATTTTCACTAAAAATTGATCAGGGGTTATAAAGAAAAATAAAAGACAATAATTAATATTTGATTTTTTATTTGTTATGACGTTTTTATTTATATTATCTTACAACTCTGTAATTCTTCAGCTTTTTCCATTGAAATACCTATCTGAAAAATAAAAACATTCTTAATTCTAATACTCACCTACAATGACTTTAGCACAATTTTTCAACCAGGTTACCATAACGAATAATACGCAGGAAAATATTGTACATACATAAAAAATTTAATTGTCACTGAAAACCTCACTATCACAAAAGTTTTTGATTTGAAGATTCAGCCTTAAGACTGTCATTTTTAATATAAAACTAAAATGCAATCTAGTTCATATTATTGTCTTTATAGTAATCCGCGATTTTAGAAAAGTTGGTCTTTCTTGTCATTACACTAATTCATTTAACACAATCCACAGATTTCACCAAAACTTGAATAAACTAAGTCAAAGGAAAATGATAGATTATTACTCTCACATAGACCAAAAATAAAATGCTTATTTATACAAAAAAATTTATCCAATCTATTCACAACACCTTAACTTTCACTCATTTCAATTAAAACTAACTAAGAAAAATTTGCAAAACAAATATTCTTGGAAAACTATTTGAACTATTATTGACTCAGCTTTTATCTTATATTTAATTCTACTTAGGATGATTTTATTAAATTGATTGACATACTGCGGGAATAAATGTTGAGAAAAAAAACACATTGGTTTATTTTTATCTGCATAACGGCATCTATTTTTCCAGATCACCAATTACACTCATAACCACTGCACCTTTTATCGATAATGAATATGGCAATAGACTTCCATCATTTTCCAAAACACTTGAAAAAAATTAGGCAATTGAGATAGAAAAAATTGCTATATACTCAGAAATGAGGCCACAATCACTTTTTTACATCACTATACACATTTTATACTTTTTTTCTCAGTTACCACACAGCACTGTCTTTTGTCCTGTTTCACTAAACCTTATTCTGTTTTCTTATATTTCACACCTGTAAGAGAATTGTCAGAACTTCTATTTTTAATTATTTTACAATCGTTGTTTACAGTTTCATATTGCATAATTTACAATGATTATTCAGACATGATTTGCATTAAGATGATACATATACCAATTCATTTTTCTATTGATCTGAAAACAGTGGGACGTTGATTATATTCCAAAAAAAAAAATTACAATTATTAATTTCTAAGTTTACATTTTTATTCAAATCTTCACTATTTCATATGGGATATACTGCGTTGTTTAGTGAAGTTTTTAAACGTGTAATATATTTAATTAAAATTGCATTAGTAGTTATGAATCAAAGTGGTACAAATTTTTATTATGAAAAAAAAAATTAATTTAATTTTTATAAATTAGAAAAGATTGAAAATAAAATACCAAGGTTCAGTGAAGGTAAAATTATTACAAATTAATAATTAATTTTGCTTCAATATTAAATACTTGCTTAATTCTCAAAATAGATAATGTAAATCACGACGAATAAATCAATATAAGAGGACTTTTCATATTTTTTACCAATAACATTCAAGTAATCTTATCATTAAGAGGTTTCACAATTGTCGCAAACGACGATAAAACACTATTTATGCTTATTTTCTTATTTATTATGTTAATCTAAAACTACACAATAGTCGTTCATAAAAAACACGTATATCGAATTAATTTGATTATTTTCTAGAATTTTTTATGAATATTGATAAACTAATCAGCTTTATATGAAAATAGATGTATAAATACGCGCTGAATAAAATAAAATGAATACAAGAAAATTGAATAAGCTATTTAATGCGAAAAGTATTATTGCTCAGTGAAATTTGTAGAAAACTTACAAAAATAAAGATAATGTACAGCAGTAAGTTCTAGCGAAGATATTATATTACAGATATTGTCATGAATAAATAATTTTGCATATTAATGTAGCAATAATACTTTTCATTATTAAGAATATTTTATAATCTAAAAAAAATTTCGAAATCATTCATGAGTATAGTGTACAAATGTCATAGACAATGTCCCGTTGTCATAGAAATGATTCGACAATTTCATAATGATTCATAAGGTACGAATTTAGATATTTTTCAACTTAAATGAAAAATAAACTGAAAATCGTGGTCATATTATTGGAGAGAACACCTGATAACAATAATTTATCGTGTAATCAGAAATTAAAGATTTTTCAAACTTTAAAATAAATGTGTACATAATTTTGTTCGTACATAATTGTAGAAGCATAGACAATTTATCATTTCTATACTTATATTATAATAATTATAAGTGAACAAAAATGGTGTGATCATATAAGTATTATAATGCTACAAATGTAGACATATCAAGAATTCTGTAATTTATTTTTACTCATCAAATTTCATTGAGTGTTCTTCATTACAAACTAAGATTAGATACTCAATTGCAAAAAAGCAATCATTCATTAAAACTTAGATTGTTCATAACATAGGATGATCAATTCTAATCTTTAAAATATCAAATGCAGTCATACATTAGTTCAAAGAAGAAAGATAATCGTTTCCTATACGAATTTCAAAACTTCAAAATTGCATAGAACAAATCACTTAGTTTGAAAAGTTCATTTGTTAGTTTTTGAAACTTTGCAAACAAGTAACTAGTATTTCTGGACTACGAAAAACTTTTCCAAGAGAATAATACATATTCCAAATTTTCAATAGACTTCTGTAAAATATATATTTATCCTCTTTGTTAGTTTAAAAATTAATACCAGCCGACTATTAAGAGGTTTTAAATTCGTATCGAACGTGTCTTTTATCCGTAGAATCCGCTATCGAAAAAGTTGACCACATCCAAAATATATCCCTCACGCTCAGTTGCACCCTAAAACTTATCTTGAAAGAAAATGGAGCTTAAGCACTACCACCCTTGACGACGACAATGACAAGATGGTCTTCCTTGAGTCCGTCTTCACTGAGATTAGGGCAGGTGCGTTTGAGTAGTTCTGTAGAGAATGCGCAAGGTGGAAAAGCGTACAGTACCCCGGTGCTCTCCGTATCTTTATTCAGCAATGAGATCACGCCAGCAGCTTCTTTCTGCTTAAGGTAAGAGACGAGGTTTCTAAGCGGGCGCGTTTGCACATTGGCATCTTCATTGGTGATGGCTGTTGTCGATCCAGCAAGACCAAGGAATATGGCATGAGCACTCGAGGTCTGGATACGCTTTGACACATCATCCAGCTTGGGTTGGTCAAGGCGTAATCTCTGAGTGATACGAAGCATGTGCTTGCCTTCCTCATCCTTCATGAGTGCGTCGATGATGTCCATGTCACCATCAGTCAGATGAAATTTAGCCGGAAACAGCGAGTTCTTCAGAATGAGTGCGCCTTGCCATACAGCCAAAGATTTTCTCGCCACATCAGTTAGTGTCCGAGAGGTATTGAGCATACCGCCGCCACCTCTGGCATTCTCCGAGTCAGAGTCCGAATCAACAGGTCTCCTGCGTGGTGATCTGGAGCGAGAACGATCAACTCCTGGCTCTCTAGATGACGAACGTCTGATTCTGCCAGCATCATAGTCGTCTGGGCGTCTTCCACTTGACCAGTCACTTTCTTCACGAGGATAACCTTCAGGATACGACCCACGGTAAGCGCCTCTTCGCCCACCTCGGCTTTCGTGCCATGTGGCAGATCCTCTTCCTCTGAATCCGCGAGATCCATATGCAAACTCACCCTCCGCAGCGTAAGGATCATAACCCGCTTCATATTCGACTGGACGTGGTCGAAATTCACCACCTTCCTCGGAGAATGGTCTAGCTTTGTAACCAGGACTCGGGGTGACGTCAGCGAAGTCCACACGCAGACGTCTATCTGGACCACCCAGCGGGAATCCCCGCATTTCCTTTACGGCAAATTGTGCGGCATCAATCGAGTCATACAGAATGTAAGCTGTGCTATCGCCTTTGATATAGTCAATCTTTTTGATTGCTCCAAATCGATCGAACTCGCGCTCTAGCTGAGCAACTGAGGTCCACGGGCCGAGTCCTCCTACCCATATCCTTGTTGTCGGTGTAGCTTTGCCGTAACCAATTTTGCACTGAAACTTGCCGATGTACTGACCGGATAGCTCAACCTTGCAACGATGAGCCATGTCCAAAGTCTGAAAACGCACGAAAGCGTAGGCATTGCCAGTACCAGGTGGTGGTCTCTTGATGTCGATATCGTCGACGATACCGTACTTGCTGAAAATTCTCCGTAGCTCATCTTCGGTAATGTTGATCTCGAGGTTACCAGCAAACAAAGTACGCGTGGCTAAAGGATCGTCTTCGGGCGACACATGGTGCAGATAGTTAGGAAATTTGTCCTTCTTGTTTTCTACTCTTTCAAAGCCGCCGTGCACCGGGTGGCGGACCATCATATGCCTCGGAGGACCATAGTGATGGGGAGGACCTGGATGAACATGAGGTGGTCCATGGTGCAACGGAGGCCTGACAAAATCATGGTGAGGTGGTGGTATGGTATCTCTGCGCAACTCCCTCGGAGGAATACCCACGGGTGGCCCGTACACTCGATCGTAGCGTTCTATTGGCCGATGTCGATCAGTTGGACCTGGTGATCTCGAGTAATATCTATCGTAATCTGGCGGGGAAACGGATCTAGGACGTCTGTAGGTGTCGCTGGTCGGTGGGCGTTCCAACACCGCCTCGACCAGACACAACTTGTCATAGATAGGAATCCTCGGCTTGGCGTACTTAGCATCGCGGGCGTCCTCATGACTACGGAAGCACACATAAGCCACACGCTCGTCAAGGTCATGTGCAATACGAATAGAGAACTCGCCGAATTTTTTGTATTCCCGATATATTGTTTCCTTGATGCTTTCATCGCTCGCTTTAGGGTGAATTGCCGAAACACATAGCACCTTGTAATACCGCTCGGAGGTGACTTCGCGAGTTGGTCTGGCGTACTCTTCACGATGAGATCCGGACTCCAAATAGCGAGAACGAGGTGGGGGTGAAGGTGATCTTGCACCTCTGCTGCGGCGACGGATGCGCTCCGGCGTTATACGCTCGTCACTTGAATCTTCGTATCTGGGAATAAAAAGCTATTTTTAGTGAAGTTTTGTGCTTTGAAAACTAAGTAAACAAAATGAAAGATGCCTTTGCTATTATTTTTATTAATTTATTTGACATTGAAATTATTTTTGTCAAAGACCCTACTTGACAAAAATTTACCAAGAATTAGTTTATATTATAGTTTATAGGTGCATTGTGTATGACTACACATTCTTTAATTTATCAAATATTAGCAATAGTACTATATCTTGTCTAAATCGAATTTATTCTACTAGAAACTTAACCAATGATATTTGACCAATACAGCTAAAAAGTAATAAATAAGATAATATTATGTTCTTTAAATGATTGATAATATTTAATAATATGTAGATTATTGATTGATATCTAATTTAATTAAGTTCTGATATTAAAAGTTAAATTGTATAAAATTAAAAACAAAAAATAACATATTAATTTATCCATGTATACAAATGCTGTATTTCTAATTAACTTTAAGATAAAGTACCAATTTTCAAAATATTTAAGTTTGGTATAAAAAATATTAATACTTAATATAAGACTTATTTAGAACATGTAGACTTGTGCAGAATAATTTGTGCCAACATGTCTAAAGCATGTAGTGCATAGATGACATTGTATAAGTGTACGTTATTTTATAAATATTGATAAAGAATTTTTTAGATATAAGATCATGTTTAATGAACCATATTTAATGATTCCTTAATAATCAAGATTACATGAAATCTATCTATCTCAAGTGAAGCCTTTATTTAACGAAAATAGTTCAGCGTACTATAATCTAATTATGCTACTACTTCAAAAAAATATTGGATTTTAAGAACATCCAATAACCTTTTGTTCGCAGTAATTGAATGATTTGTGATATACTTCAAATACCTTCTAATTTTGTTTATTTTAAACTATAGAGAATTGATTGTTTTTTGCATTGATAATCAATAATAAAAAGCTGATAAATTACAAATCATCAAAAAATAATACCATGAAATGTTTTTCAAAACATTAATTTTTATGAAAACAATGGTCAATTTTTACTGAATAATCTATGTGATAACATTACTTCAAATAGTTTGAATGTGAAAAGTTAGCTTTATAAAATTTTGCTAAATTGTAATGGTGACATCTTAGATGAAAAGATTTGATTGTATACATACTCCATCGAATGTTAATTTCTTTTGTCACAAAACTATGATACCTTTTTTACTTGAAACACAAACTAAGCAAACTTCAATGACATTTGTTTTTTTTTCTTTACAGATTTTAATTCAGTTAACTAACTGAACATAATTGTTGCCAACACTCATGTGTTCTTAGACACTACTTTTCGCCACAAAAATGATAATCACTTACAAGGTCACCAATTTCTAAACTATCTGAACAAAAAAACCACAAGATCAAATTAATTGTTATATTGTGCATTGACCATATGAACAATGAGCACACTTCTACTGTAAAACAGTGAAATTCTCTTCATCAATCACAATTTGATCACTTAATTAAAAAAATCACAAAATTATAACAATATAAACACATCCTCGAAGAAGTAGCCACTGTATTCTCGAAAATTCCGCTGGCTTATACGCGTGTACGTGTACATTGATATATAGGAGCGAAGAGAAGTCGCCTCACACAACACAGAGGGCGAGCAAAATGGTCGTCGAAACTGTACGCTTGAAAACAACGCGCACTCACACACACTCACACAGAGGTATAGACACACACACACACACATCCTATAGAAAACCGATGCTAACCCACCAAGAAAACACTCACCAAATTGAAAAAAATTAATAAGCCAGCAAAATGTACGAGAAAACGAAATTTAAACTACAACTCGTCTGTCGAAGAAGATTCCTTTGTAAAGAACTGAACTGGGCGTCCACAGTGCACATACACGGGCGCACACACTCACCGTCCGATCGATGATCTGCCCCGCTTGACTCGCGGTGGCGGTGAGTCCCGGCTTGAGCTGCGCTTCATGTTGTTTCGTATCTTCACTGTGATCTTATGCCTATCTTCCTTCGAGATTCCAATCATCAACGCTAGTGCTCAGCCACCGTGGACGTTTTCGACGGGGACGTGATTATGACGACGATGATGCACTCTACACACACACAAACGCAATCCACTCGATGTATTTTTCGCGGCTGGATCGAGGTCGTTGCAAGATTATGTGAACTCAAATGAAAACGGTATGGTTTATGAACTTAACGGCGAGTTGACGATAATTCTTCACGTATTTCCTGATAACCTCTTTTGACTGGACAATTGAAGATTAGGACAATGATGCGTGGCTGGTCGAATCTTGCTTTCCCTCATTGGATGCCAGTAGGTGTAGTGGTGCAGCTTATTGTGACTGGTTCTACGTCCTTGGACGTTGCGCAGAACATTGTGCGCCGATCATGTCCGTCACAAAACTAATTGACATTGGTTAGTTACTCTATTGACAATATTGATATTGTCTTTGTGACAGGCAGATTTGCGCGCGCATAATATAATGCGTAGTGTCCAAGTGCGCATGATCAACACCACACGAGTTTATTTAAATAAAAGAAAGAAAAAACCACGAGCTTATTAGAATTCGCTTAGAAAAAGTAATGTGAAAATAATCTCTAAAACAGTTAATTCAAATTTGATGATATACAATGTAAATAATAACTTAATCAAATTAAATTAAAAAAGAATTCAAAAGAACTATTTGATCTCTAAATATATTCAAAAAAAATATAAGACTAAGAATAAGTTAACCGACCGGTGATCGGATCCATATATGATTTTCAACTGTACAGTGTTAAAACACGGCTCTGAGCTGATTGCTAATAAATGTAGTTGCGTCGGAGAAAAAAGCGCGTTCCTTCTAATGCGTTGATAAATCATAGCCCGATTTCTTTCCATCCTGCTTCCGCTGGAGCTCATATATGCAGCAAAATGTTGAAAAAACTTGAAAAAGGCAAATAGAGTCATAAAAGTTGCAGCTAGACAATTATGAGATTTTCGTTGAAGCTACCTGTGTTTCTAAAGGACGGCTTGTAATTAATCGCCTCTCGAATTCATCACGTTTTCAAGTGATCATTTAGTTTATAGATGGTCGTAAGAAAATATCGTAACGGAAATGAGAACTGCGCCGTAGAAAGTTGAATTCAACATTCGCGCAATTGCCTTAACATACATTTATGTACATATTAGGTTGGGATTGGAAAAGCTAGCTTCAGCACCCCTCCCGGCTGGAATCCAAAGCCGTGAGACAGGCTTGCGTTGAAACGCGTCTGTATGTGTTTACATTGAAACTCGTACGAAGACTGTCATTTACATGGTATTTTTATAGTTGTAATTGAACTATTCTATTTGACTACATAAATTATTTAAATACATTGTAAAAGGTTCGTAAACATGTCTTATATATTATATTATATTATATTATATTATTATTATATTGGAGAATGAACAGCTTCCTCGGAGAAGCAATATTTATTGCTGTGTAAAAAATTGTGGTTCTCGAGCTTGCGTCAACAATGAACTTACTTTTCATTTTTATCCATCGCCGACAAAATATATCTACCAAAAAAATATGTTTGGAAACATACAAAAAGTAAATTTGTAACTTATGTGGATCAAAGTTTTGAATATCAAAGGTCCCTTGAAAAGTTTTTGGAACGTGTACTCTAAACATTTTACTGCAGATGATTTTTTCCTAAGTGATAAAAAAATAATTCCACCTGCAATAACTTATTATTTGTTGGGCGTACTATTTTAATTCATTTTTTTTATTGAAGGAAAAATCCAATATTTATTTTTGTATTCTTATGAATTTAACAGTTCAACCCATCTTTCATACATTTATAAAAAGTATGTAGAAAATTAAAATATCACATTTTTCTTTACAAAAAGTCACCTTTGATCGTGATTTAGCATAAGACTCGCACTCATTACAATATATGGATATAGATTACATTCAATAAGGCTAATCAGAATGAACGCGTAAAATTTCTTTATGAAGAATCGGTACATAGTCATCATATTCAACTAAAATAACGTTAGCAGAAATAGGATCTCCTAGATTGTATTTATGGCTAAAGTTCTTCTGTGAAAATCTCAGGCGCATAATTAACGAACGGTTGTGTGACTTTGGTTCATCGAAGTCTAGCTTGCCAGGCTGCTTGTAAAGTGTGTACAAAATTCGATGTTTTCCCGTGTGTATTTGTGGCCCTGAAGGAACGTATTCGGCGATTGTATAAGCTTGCGAGATGTCATTTCCTGGTATGTTCGTTACGAGCCAATGTAACATTTCTCGGTATGCTGGTCTAGATCGCTTTGGCGCATCCAGATCTGAAAATAATAAATCATCAATTGCTTTAAAGTAAATATCTACCAATGCGTACACTCAATCACTTCGAAAAATATACCGGTCATAATGATTGCATAATAACTAGACGGATCGGCATTCCATTCGACTTTCGGCTGATTTTTAATGTTAGTTGGCGTCCATTCCTCGTTAAATTGTATACTTTTATCGTTATATTTGACCTGCAATATCGAACTTGCATCAATACACATAAATGTGCATTAATTTTCTGGATATTATTGTTGGAAATTGAAAATACCGTTAGTAACTCGTTCGGGGACTGACTTATTCCATCAGGCACAACTTCACTTTGTGTAAAATCTGTTGTTAAGTCAGCGGCGATAATACTCAGCCAATATAATAGTAGAGCTATTACAACTATAACATCGGAAAGAACAGATTATCAGATTTTTAAACAAAATATTCTCTACAGTTCATTTCACATATGTACATTCCATTATTGATTACATCTAATTTGATTTAAAAAAAACAAATTTTTTAATTAATCAACCAAGCAATAAAATCTTGTAAGGTATTTCTTTTCAAATTATTTTTCAACTAAAAATTATTATGTGGAATAAAATATAAATTTAAAATTATGCATTGAATAAAATCTTAAATTGTTTTATAATTCTTTTTTAACTTTTTTGTTACCTAGAATCAGTTTATTTATATTACAGTTGTTATTATTAACATAAATTAACAATCAACTTTCATTCAAATGTAGGATTTCATTGTTTTACAAATCTACGTATATTATTATTTTAATGTGAAGTTTGTTAGAACTAAACTACTGAAATGATAAACGTGCACATACTGTCGCCTAATGCGAGCTTCATTTTGACTTTTGTTATAAACATAGACTGTTGATAGCTGTGAGCAAGACAGAACTTTATAAGTTCTGGTAAGCCGCTGTGTTACATAACTCTGCTATTCGTAATGGCATAATCACTTGGTTCAAGATAGTATTTGAAAGTTCTAGCTATCCATCCTAGATTTTTTAAAGTAAATAAAAGGCTTAAAAACTTCCAAAGACAAGTAAGAATTCAATTATAGATGATTAACAAGTTTTTTTTCTAAAATATATATAATATAAATAGCTCATATAATGTTTCGAACTATGTTTGATATCCTTTATGCATGACAATAACATTAATAATTTAGGATAATAGAATGTCCATATTGTTTTAAAAACGCCGAGATTTCTTGTGTTTTATGAGATAACTTCATGATGCATCGCATGTAACCTTGTCGGTATAAATTACGTACATAACAGAGTGCGGTTCCTGTGTTACTTAATCGCCAAATTAATGTGTGGATGAATTAATTTTTGGATTTATGTTGAATTTTCTCTTTATTATTTATTGAAGGATTCAGGGGTATTTTTATTACATCGATGAAGTACATTTCACATGCCAAGATTTTTATAAAACAATGGAACATAATCATCATATTGTGCTTGGAACATATTGCCAGATACCGGATCATTTAAATTATATTTAATAGCAAACTTCCGTAATGAGAAATTCGCTCTACCGTCAAGCGATGTATCACTCATAGGTTTTTCTTCAAAAGTTAGTTTGCCTGGCTGTTGATAGACTGTAAAAATGTATCGATGCAATCCAGTGTCCTTGGGTGGTCCAGCGCCGATATACTTTGCCAGCGTATCACCTTTGGCAAAATCGTTTCCAGGAATATTGACAATAGCCCAATGAAGGAATTCACGCATTTGTGGATTTTCACGACTTGGAGCATCCGGATCTGAATGTATAAGTCGTATTATAATGAGTAAAATATTTTGAATGTTAAATAAAATCATTTTAGTAAACACTGAGAATTATTGATCCACTACATAAGTAATGTACCAATGATTGGTCTTAGTTTAAATTATCAGGGCAAATATTAGTAAGGTTCTAGTGATATAAAATTTTTATACGAATGAACAGAAAAGTATGTAAATTTAGATATTTTAAATCAAATAAAATTAATAACATTAATAGTCGAGTTATTAAAACTACGTTATATTTTTTAAAAGTCGTTTTAAAATAATAATATAAAATAATTTTCTCTTCATGAAAAAATGTTTTAACTTGGAATCATTCGAAGAAATCGAAATAAAATGAATTCCATTATTAGTATTGTAATGTATGACTATCTCTATAGAAGAGAAACTAGTTTTGTTTACCGTTCAAAATGAGTGTATAAAATTTTGAAGAATCGAAATTCCATTCAATAAGCGGTGCATCTTTTACTTCACTTGGCGTTAGCTCTTTTCCTAATTCTACTTTTTTATTGTTATAAGAAATCTGCTGAAATGAAGAAAAAATGAGATATTATAATATTTTTAAGTACATTGAATTCATGTTCCATGAAACATGCTGTTATTATATTGAAACTTTCAAATTATTATGGAAATAATTTTGTTTCTTATAAAACAAATAAAAAATTGATTGAATTTTTACATATTCGTTTGAATTAAATAATATGGCTAAGAGCGAAAATTGTGTTAATATAAATTACATAAATATCTCTTATAATAAGGTAATTTTATAATTAGCATTAAATTTGCAGTAATATTAGCATACATTTAAGCATCTGTTTTTCTATAAAATTAATGTTTACATATAGGTCATTACATAAATATATAGAACTAATTGAATTTATAAATAACCTGCAAATAGTTGATCGGCGCTTTGTCCAAAACATCAGGAATGATTCTTTCTATTTTATAATCATCGTCAATATCTGCAGTTACAATTCCTAACAAGCAATAGGCGATTCCTGAAAATTTACCATTGTCTACAACTGTTTAAGAATTGTATGGAAAGATTTAGTATAATTATATTTATTTGTAATAATTATATACTAGTACAATAATACAATTCTAAAATATATATATTTTAACACGTTAGTACGTGTGTAATCCATATATATATATATATATATATATATATATATATATATATATATATAAAAACACAAAAATTAAATAGGACAGATGAAAGATCCACCTGGAGTCAACGTATTGAAAAATTACGTACTATATACATTTATTTATCGGTATGAATGGTAACTTTGAATATAGATTCAGACACGACATGATTTAATTTGATCAAAAAAAATTTATCGTACCTGCCGCAAATAGTTTCATTTTAACCCGATGAATGTTTCCTGCAAACTACTAAGCTCTTCGGGATACTTTGTATCAAAACAACATGTGCGCATACCTACTTTATTTAGCCGTTACATAACAAAACAGAGCTAAAGCGACTTGTCAAATCTCATGCTTTGCCAACTAATACATACATATGAATAAAATGCAACTACATATTAAGCATGTTCAATAACAAAGTTGAAATTTAAATAATTTTATTACATGGATTTTCATAGGACAATATAAAACATTATAATTTTGAGACGTGAAATCATTGACAAATTAAACCGAAATATAGAGAAGTAAAATTTTTTGGAAATCGTAGGATTCATTTAAAGAGGAATATATTATATAGATATACCTATTAGCCATAATAGTTTTGTAGTATTCCGAAGTACAGCTGATTTATTATTTTGATATTATCTGGTAGATTTTTTTTTAACAAGTGTCACTCATCATTCATGTCACAACCCATTAATAGCCACATGATGGTTTTTCGAGAGCTGAGTTTGAATTCTTACGACTTAATGAATTTAAATGGACCAAATTCAGAAACCACAGTTTCCTATGTTTGCAAAGGTGCTCTTTCCAACAGTGTTGGTGAAAAGTTTCTCCAAGAAAATTTTGCTATCAAAAATAAATAAAAAAAGCTTAATTTTTCGATTACATTTTTCTTTTTTCAAATCGACATTTCGATCCCTTAACATTTGTTTATATGCCTAAAACGTATGTGGATTGTGGCATTGATATTTAAAATAAATAATAATAAGGTTGCCCGAACATAAAAATTTTTTATTTGAACAAAATTATGGCCGATATAAAATATTTTTTTTATATTTTGTTTCGCGCGCTCTTTCGTTGTTTTTCCACTTTTATTACATTATTCGTATTATACAATCATAAATTTACTCAAAAGTAGTAGTTTTTTACGGCCTTCTGTGCTATTCAAATCAAACCAGTCACTTGAATAAATTGCATCAGTTGTATTTTTGCTCTAAAAATAATATACACTTGAAAATCTTTCAATAATAAATACTAAATAGAGATATTATTATAACCTTCACGGTGAATTTTTATTAACAACTTAAAAAAAGACAACGTTTTTTGTTTTCTGAAAATTTGTTACAAGTTCTAATGAAGAAAAAAGTCATTATTATAAATTTAGACTAATATTGGAAATGCGTTTACATGCAAATAGCATATAAAAAGAAATTTGAATTCAAACTTTCCAAGGCTTTTGATGTCAAAATAAAAAAAGATCTATAAATTCATTATAATAAAACGATGCATAACATTTCTTAGAATTGATCCAACAGATCAATTAAGCAATTACGAGTTCTATTCTTCAATGAATGAATAAATTCAGTACACATTAAATATGATATTTGTTTGAATTTTGTAAATATTTGGAAAAGTTTACAATCTATTATTCAACACAAACTTTCCACATATTGTGAAAGCGTATAGCAGTATATCGGTACATTTATGCGTTTTTTATTACACCCCTAGAATTTTGCAACCAGACTTACAATCGTGTATCTTCACGGATATGCTCAATTTATATGTAGTATTTTACATAATATTAACATCAAATCTCTTTAATCAATTGACATAATTAAGGTTTGAAAATAAAAGCTTTTTCTTCTTGGCTTAATCTGCAATCGATTGAAATATGCTGAATTATCTATGATTATCATATTGATACTATTATCAATGTGTTAAATGAAATTCGTGCTAAATAGGATTTTTATATTTATATTTATATTTTATACACATTTGTATTTATATTTTATACACACATTATTTGATATCTATTGTTACTAGTTATGAAATATACCAAAATACGTACGAAAACCAATAATTATCGTTTACTCAAATTTTGTGCATTCAAGCACACTTTAGAGCTACGGATCAGTACCGATCTACATATATGTAAGTAAATTTCTAAGTCCCTAAAATATGGCAACTAGATTTACAATTTTGTTAGTGGACGTAATCTATTGAATATGCAAATAAATCATGTTCAGTACTTTGATTTTTCTTTATTAATCCGAGCTAAATGAGATTATTTTTAACAAGCAATGTTATCTCTTGTACATCAAAAATATTGTACCGAAATATGAAATAACAAAAGATTTCTAGCCATTGCATTTACAAAAAGAAATTTTTAATATCCAAGTTTGTTTATAAATACTACTTTTTTCCTCTGTGAGGGTCATATTGAAAATGCTACGCGATTGCGCTTGCTAATCAACAACAATTGTATTGTCCATTTTCTACTATTTCAAAGTTATTAAACACAGTTTACGACATAAATTTATGACTTATGACATGGTTACTGATTCAATGAACTAGTTAATGTTTTCCATCGGACTAAATAACGAATCTTAAGAGTGGACTCTAGAAGGAAGTCATTTTTAACATTCGTACATTGGCAACAATCGCGATGCTTTTCGGATTAAATTGTTTACCATTATTTACGCTGTTGGTAATGTTGAATAGAGCTGATAGAATTAGTAAAGAAAGTATGCAAATATACTTTCTAATAAAGATATTTCCAATTTTAATATTTCTATGGATAAAAGATACACTTGTACTGACGTTCTATCAATCCATATATTTTATTTATTACAAAGCGACGTTTCAGCCGCTCTGAGTCTGGCTATCTTCAGGCTAAGAAGTGGTAACGTGAATGAATTCGAATTTATACAAAGCAGAAAGTAATTAATATTGCTAAACGATTTTATATAAAATTGTATGGCATTTGAATTATGTATAAAAATTAACATGATGATTTTTCACGTACGTGAACAAATGATGCATTCCTAAACTTGCTTGTGAGATATTCATCAGAACAGATATATATCAACTAATTTTTAACATTTAAATACTAATCATCAGAACCTCGCGATACATTAATCTAGAAAATTGACATATCATTTATCACGTCGGGCGTATAAGCAAAGCAATAATAGTTTTTCAGTATTAAACATAGACTACGTGATTGAACCGCATAAAAGAATGGAAACAATACAAAAGAAAATTATGACTTTCTGACTGTTGCTTTGTAGTACAATTTTGTCGTTAGATTGATCGTTGAATTGTTATCAAATATGTAGTTAGTATTAATTTTTCAAATTTTCAGTTATTACGGTCTTTTAAAAATCATTTAAAATCTTTATATGTTTTGTATAAATTCAATCAAGTCTGTGACTACATAATTAATTAGTACAAAACAAACTTGCAACCAATTTTGCACTTATTGTGTAATGTATTTTTAATGAAGTATATAAAATTAGTGTGAGACACTGTACACTTGAATTTGTCGTAGACACATATATAAATTATTATACTGATACAACTATGTTCAGAAGAATTTATAAATTAGAGTAAAATATGATGCAATTACGCTCATTTCATTTACCGTACATAAAATTGACCAACATCATGAATTTCCATGACTTGTTTGCATAGTCAGAAAAAAAGTGCAATACGATAATCATTTTTTGAAGATGGAAGTACTTAACTCTCTTTAACATTTTCCATCTACTTGAAGACGTAATCTGCAACGTATCATTGATGAGATATTGTACTAATAACGCCATTATGAAGCGTCTCCCATAAATAAATAACTTCTCTAGTTCTTTTTAAATGTATTAATGCATATTGCATCTACTGGAATTTTTCATTTTGTCTTTCATATACATTATTTGATTATCAGTACTTTCCGTGACAAATTTAGAAACCATCGGTGATTGGTCTCTAAGTGATAGAGATCAGGGCATATAAAAATAAAATTAATTAATTCCATAAAAATAAAAAACTTATAAATTTTTAGCATCATTCTAAATACATAACGATATAAGTATATCTTTAAAAATATTGCAAGATTTCGAACAGTTAAAAAATGATTTCTGAGTGTGACATGTATGCAGAATTAGTAAAAGATGTGGAGGTATCACCTGTCTTCGGAATATCGTTGAAGGTAACAAAGCTAAGCGTAAAGAATTTTTATAAGTGGTGATATTTTCTATCATAAATTTTATATAACGAATAATGAATTTTGTCGTAACTGAAATGTTATAGCTGGTTAACGAATGTCGAGACTCACAATATCAAGCGGAATTCCAAAATAAATCTTTAATAATCTTACTTTTTACATGATAAAATAATACATTCTCTGTAACAAGTAGTTCGCTTATTCAATCGATAGTATTGTTTTATTATAACATGTAAACTTTTTTATTTATTGAGAAATCATAAAAGTATAGTTTATAAAATTCAAGCACGTTTTTATAGCTCATACAACATTATTTTATCGTAGTTTTGAAACTTTTTGACAATTTTTCTTCCTTGAGAATTTGTTTACTTTGATATATTACCATATATTTCTATAGCAACTGTATCATATACATTTATTCGTAGTACCAAAACACATTTTATCTCTCACACGCAGCACAATTACGCAAAATAATATCTTTTCTTGATTATCAATCTTTGTTATTGTTTACATCATCCACATTATATGGAAGTTACGGCCTATTACATGTCATTGCTGGCAGCGTCAAAAAATGCTTATCCGTCAGTAGTCGATTGATTAGTAATTGCTTGATTAGTAGAAATGACTCAGAAAACCAATTATGCATTTTTTGTCAGTCGCTGCAACGTACAAGTATTTAATTGGATATTTTTAAAATAGCGCACTTATCTTTTTCCGTATTAATTGCAAAGAATGAATATAAATCAAAACTTTTATTGACGAAATTTAAAATTAAAAAATTCACTATGTATTAAATATTCACATAATTTTAAATAATATATAGCTGTGGATATTATTTATTGATAAAAAATACGTAATAGCGTTGACAGTTGATACTCATAATTTAAAAATGTTATCAATATAAGTTTTAAGTCTTCATTTCTTTCAAATTTATGTGTTGAAAAATTATCAAATAGTTTTAAAATCACGATAAAATAATGTTATATGAGTTATAAAAACGTTATTATTTTTTATTATAACGTTTTTATTATTTTTGATTATAACGTTATTATTATTTA